TTGTTGCCTTACCTCGCAATACGTGTTGCGTTACCTCGCGATACTTGTTGCGTTACCTCGCAATTCTTGTTGCGTTACCTCGCAATTCTTGTTGCGTTACCTCGCAATACTTCTTGCATTACCTCACAATACGTGTTGCGTTACCTCACAATACATGTTGCATTACCTCGCAATACTTGTTGCGCTACCTCGCAATACGTGTTGCGTTACCTTTGCATTACCTCGCAATACTTGTAGCGTTACCTCGCAATACTTGTAGTGTTACCTCGCAATACTTGTGCATTACCTCGCAATACTTGTTGCCTTACCTCGCAATACTTGTTGTGTTACCTCGCAATATGTGCTGTTACCTCGCAATACTTGTTGCCTTACCTCGCACTTGTTGCCTTACCTCGCAATACTTGTTGCCTTACCTCGCACTTGTTGCCTTACCTCGCAATACTTGTTGCGTTACCTCGCAAAAGCTGTTTCTTACTGTTGTGCCTGCTGATTTAATTTTTTATAAATTTTCATTCTCACCATAATACGGGAGTTAGCTTGCTAGTTTAATTCAGCTTAGGAATGAATAAACAGCCACACATGGAGATATGTAACAGGCAGATATTTCAACTCTAGGCTGTCCCATAATAACACCATCAATTTCCCGAATTTGTGGCAACACATCCTGTTTTTGCAACCGATATTTCAAAATAAAATTCTGATTCAATACAGTTAAAACAGAACAAACTTTTGTGTGGGAACGCAATAAAGATATAAACAACTTTCTCCTTCATATCCTTTCTTGACCAAATCCCTGTTTCCATTGAGCAGAAATAAATAAGTGAGGCTTATATTTATCACCACCAGAATTAAACAGTCTGTGACAAAAATTTGTTGCTGGATTAAAAAGCCAACAACAAAAATGTACCAAAAAACAACAAATCAGCTTTACAAGTAGAAAACTGTAGCAAATGGATTTTAATTTTTTTTAGATTGTAAGTGTTTTCCAGATTTACTTTGCTCAGTATGATGAACACCCACAGAAGACTAATAAGGTGTATGTTTGTTTCTGTGAGCTCAGAAGGCGATCAGGTTCTTCAGATGGAGCCCCATACAGACCTGCCTCCCCAGAGGGCTCCCAGGTGGACATCATGGGCGTCCACACGGTCCCTGGCAGCCCCAACACCCTCCACCGCACGGTGGCCACCAACACCCCACCCAGCCCCGCGCTCCAGAGACGCTTGGGCCAAGGCAGCCCCTCCCTGGCCAGACACCCGCTTCCGACTGGCGTCCCCTCGAGTCCCCTAATAGGCCGAAACCCCAAAACGGCAGCAGCCGGCGTCCCGCCGAGCCCGCTGATGGGCCGCCGCACGGCGTCGAGCGGCCGCAGCACACCCGACGAGCTCGGGGCTGCCTCTCGTCAAGGCAGTGTGCAGCCGCCTCCCACGCCCGCCTTCCCCGTCTCGCCTCATCTGCCTGAGAAGAGACACATGTCCAGCGGAGACGCAGAGAGGACCGACAACAAGAACTTGACACAGCTGGCCAGCGGTGGCAGCACGCCAAACCTGTCCGGCACACATCCCCTCTCAGACGTCTCCAAGTCCATATACGGTGAGCCGCAGGAGATGTTTTTATTTAAACCCTCCCACAGCTGGTTTGTGTTCTAAACACTAATCTTTTTTCTTGTTTATTTTACTCCAAACAGACAGTTATCCAGACATCAAGATGAATGTTAAGTTTGTCCAGGACACGTCCAAGTTCTGGTACAAGCCAGATATCTCCAGAGAGCAAGGTGAGAATGCAAACTTTAACATTTTTGGACAGTAAAAACAACTATTCTTCACTTGAGTGTGCTCTTGTTTCATCTTTTTGTTTGTTTCTGCTCTCTTCTTTCAGCCATTAATCTGTTAAAGGACAGGGAGCCCGGTGCATTCATCATCAGGGACAGCCATTCTTTCCGTGGGGCCTATGGTCTGGCTATGAAAGTGGCCTGCCCCCCACCGACCATCCAGCAGAACAAAAAAGGTAAACTCCACAGCCAAATCAGTGTAACGTTTGAGGGTTTTTCTTACATTACAGTGTTTTTTAAATCATTTCTTACCAAGTGTCAGGTGATATGACAAACGAGCTGGTGAGGCACTTCCTGATTGAGACGAGCTCCAAAGGCGTCCGCTTGAAGGGCTGTCCCAATGAGCCCTACTTCGGTGGGTTGGTGATTTCTCTTCTCCTGAGCCAGTTGGTTTATAAAAAGCATCTCAGATTAACAGAATGAACACATGATGTTTGCAGGCTGCCTCTCAGCTCTGGTGTACCAACACTCCATGACCCCGCTGGCTCTGCCCTGCAAGCTGATGATCCCCACCAAAGGTCAGCTCTGCCCTCCTCTGCAAGGCTCTCTAGGATTTTCTGCCTTTATTTTTATTATTATTATTATTTTTTGGTTTAAGTGAATTTTAAAACCGGATTTAGAGCAAATGTTTGGAAACTAAAAGAGGCTAGTAGGTATTAATTCCAAAACTAAAATCAGGAAGTGGATCGATGCGATCAGGGATTTTCATAGGCCGATTCTGACGCCAATTTTTATTCAAATTCAGGGCAGCTGAAGGTCAAATTATGAAGCCAATTGTTTGATTTTGGCTCCAGAATTGAACAGTTTAATATTTTTGAGCATTACATTGTGGTAGATTTTGACAGAAACAAGACACTTATTTACTGCATGATTTGGTTCAGTGCTCGTTCTTACCTGTATTGCAGTTTGTCAAAGGTTCCCAGTGGCTACAGTTCAACATAAAGTAGTTTATATCTTTCCTCTGAACATAACATTTTGCATCCAACCAATTAAATACATAAAACTGTAACATGTGAATAAGGGCTTACAGTTTCCCTACAACTTTCTGTTAAAATTCACGTAATATTTTGGTCAACATCATGAAATGCATCTGTATTCAGAAGCATATTAAGAATAAGAATTGAGTTGTGTCAACTGTAAGAAAAATGTGCTGCCCACAGATTTGCCTGCTTTTTACTTGATGTATTATACCAATGGTTGTTCAGTGCTATCGTTACAGAAATGAAGAAATGGTCTTAATTAATCGGTCAACCAATCAATCACTAACTTTAGTAATGAGCATGAAATTTAAATAGTATTACATGTGCACAGATTGGTTAAAGTATGAAGTATGC